GGGTAACTCATGGCAGGGCTTGGGGTGGTTCCAGGGGTTGAACCTGGGTCAGCGTGTGTAAGGCAAGAGCTCTACACACTGTACTATCATATCACTCTGACCCTGAAAGAAATAAAATATAGAACTCCAGAGTTGTTTTATTTTTTCTGTGCCAGGGATGAGCTGGGTCTTAGCAAAAGATTAGACACAGTCAAAGAGAGCATCAGCCAACTGGAGGACAGATAAACAGGAAATACTTAGATGGTAAATAGAAGAAAGGTGTGAATAAGGTAGAATTGAGATGATATAAAATAGAGAACAAACAATGCACAGAACTCAGTTTAAAAAAATCCATATGGACCTACTTAGAATCCTAGACAGCGAGGAAAGTTAGAGGTGCAATAGTGTAGAAGAGGCCATAGAGGAAGAAGGGGGGGGGGCAAAGGGAAAGGGTGAAACTAACGTGGTGGCACCAGTAATGGCTGAGGAGTCTCTAAAACTGATGAAAATCATAGATAAGAGTTATAAACAGAGCACATTCAAAGAAATCACACATGTGCACATCCTGAAGTTTACTAAGGAAAAAATCAATATATCTAAGGGAGAAGGGAGGAAATCAGAGGAGAAAAACACATCACCTTTAAAGGAGCAATGATAGGAAGGAGAGTTGACTTCTCAAAAAAAACCTACAAACCAGAAATATACCTTCAAAGGACTAGAAGAAAATAATTGTCACTCTTAGGAAACATCGTTATAAATTTTATGTTAAATGAAGACCTATTTAGACAAAAAAAAAATAAGGGGTATGGAAGACATAATGAAAGAAATTCTAGGGACAGTTCTTCAGATATAAGACAACAATCCAAAGCAGAATCAGGAGGGGGGAAAAAGAAAATTATGAATAAATTGTAGCTTATATAAAAGGAGTTGGAATGTAAAATAAAACAGCTGGTAACTATAGGAGCAGGTAGCTAAGGATACAAACCAAAGAACAATCAGTGATAGTAAGGTTCCTGGTATCATTTTTTCTCTCTTCCTATACAATCCAGCATGGATGAGGGTGAACTAAATCTAGAATATCAGAACTGAATATTTGAAGTCTTAATAAAAGTCTGTGAGGAAAGGCATTTCTTCTAGCCAAAGGACAGGGAAAGAGGTTGCCGTAGTTGAAAGAGGTTGGTAGTCCAGAAGATCTGTGTTTCCTAGTTTCTCCCTGACTCAGTCACGGACCACACCTCCTGCACCACCCAACCCCTCAGGAGAGTTTAATCTCTGGGCCAGCAGCTCCAGACAGGTTCCCCTCCACTGTAGTTCTGAGCAGCCTCCACATGTGATCTCTGCCATGTCATGGCGCCCAGCATCACATCACATCAGCATCACCTGAAGCACATAGCCATGTGTGCTCTACGCATCAAATTCAATGCTGATCACAGTAACACTTCCTGTCACCAGGTAAAGAGAGGCAGGGAAGGAAAAGAGGAACTCCCAGTCCAACCCCTCAGAATCTCTCAGGGGGACTCTCTACAAAGATTCACCCTCAGGCAGTGGGACCACTGGAAACCCAATGGGGAAGACACATAGAAGCCCAGTAAGTTCAATAATTGAAAACAATAACATAGCAGGCTCAACCAGCACCAATCAGCTCTGTGAATCCTCAGAGAATGACTTTAGTGACACCATGATGAGGCTGTTTAAGGAGCATAGGCGGTCCGCAAAGCACAAGAGAGTATGACAGCTTGAATGAGGAAACTACAATCAGAAACACCAGACGTGGAGTTTAGGTAGGTGATATAAACACCCAGTCGAAGCTCTGAGCAGCAGGATGACAGCAACCGAGGAGATCAAAGAACGCTGAGATGAGAAGGAAGAAAGCACTAGAAAACAACAGAAGATAGAAAAGGGTCTGGAAAGAAATGAACAGCACACCAGAGAACTATGGAATGCATTCAAGACGAGCAATAGCAGAGTCATCAAGGTCCCTGAGGAACGGGAGGGAAAATCTGATGAAGAACCAGTCATTAAGGAAAACATAGAAAAGACTTTCCAGAGTTGAGGAATACGGGAAACCCCATACAAGAAGCCTGAAGGATCTCGGCAAAAACAGGAAAATTCCCAGACACAGTGAGCTCAGAATGACTAAAAATCCCAAGCCCCAAAAGACAGAATATCCAATGCAGCAAGGTACAAAAAGGAACTTATACAAAGGGAAACACAGCAGATCTATCAAACGAGTCCTACAAGTCAGAAGAGAATGAATGAATGAAGTTCAAAATCTCAAAGAACTTGAACACCTCCCCAAGAATTCTCTGTCCAACTAGATTATCATTCATATTTGAGGGAATAATGCAGCACTTCATTGTCAGGTAACAACTGAGGGAATTCATAGTCTTGAAACCAGTTTTGCAAAAGCATTAAAGGGGCTGTTCTAAAAGACAGGTCAAACTTCCCAGCACTTTCACTGAGTATAGAATTCATTCGTGGCATTTTGGTCAAGAAACATTTTTTTCTCAATTATTTTCACTCTCAAAAAAAGGTTTTGGGGGCTGGAGAGATAGCAGAGCGGGTAGGGCGTTTGCCTTGCACACGGCCGACCCGGGTTCGATTCACAGCATCCCATGTGGTCCCCTGAGCACCACCAGGAGTAACTCCTGAGTGCAGAGCCAGGAGGAACCCCTGTGCATCGCCGGGTGTGACCCAAAAAGAAAAAAAAAGTCTTGGGTTTTTTTTTTTTTTTTGCAACCTGGAAGTACTCCTAGCTTACTCCTGGCTTTTTACTCAGGGATCACTTCTGGTGGGCTCAGAGCACTATGTGGAGTGCCAGGGATTTAACCCAGATCTGCAATATGCAAGGCCAGCACCTTACCCACTGTACTATCTCTCTCCAGCCCTCTCAATTCTTTTCACTTTTAAGTAAATTTTTCATTTGTAGGAATTATCTATTTTGTGTCATTTTCAAAGTATTAGCACACAGATTATTGATAATATTTTTAAATGTATACACTTCCAAAAAAAGAAAGTTTTTGGAAAACAGTTTACTTTATCAACTTCTCATTCATTTATAATACTTAAGATTGAACCCATGCCAGGAAATTACCCTATCCACTATACTAGCTGGCTCTGGTTGCAGTTTCGCCAACTTTAAAAAAAAACCCAAAAACCAAACAAACAAAAAACCTCTTTTGAAGGAAGGAATCCACTTCATTTCACTCCCCTGCTTTCTTTTGTCTTTAATGCCATGATTTTGGTCTTTGTTCTGCTTCTTTAGTATTTTTCTCTTTTCTCCATGCAGGTCTGCTTGGTCCCTTGGGGCCAGGGCTGTGCCTCGTTTTGTGGATGTGCAATGTTTAGCAATGGCCTGGTCTCTGCCCACTAGGCAGAGCAGTACCTCTCCCCTAACGTCCTCAAAGACTGTCAAATATCCCTGGCTTAAAAATAATCATCCTTTAAAAAAACAACTCGTAGGTCTGGAAGATGGCACAGGTGTTACAGTATTTGTTTCCATGAACCCCAGTTTGATCAGTCCCTGGCACCTCACAGAGACCCCTAAGCATCACCAAGAGTGAGCCCTGAGCACAGAACAGGAGTAATCCCCGATGGGGGGTGGTTGCGCCTCCAATCAACACTCCCAGCCTCCCAAAAGCCCCAACTTCTATTCATAGAATAATGAAAGTGGGAGAAGTGGGCTAGAGTGATAGTGTAGCGGGGAGGGGGTTCGATCCCTGACGTCCTCTGTGGTCGCCCAAGCACCCAGGAGAGATTCCTGACTGCAGAATCAGCACATCTGTCCAAAGTCTTACATATGTAAAGAACCCCAAAGTGTGAATCAAGACAACCCGCTGGTTGAGAAAGGGTCAAGGGAATCAAGCAGGCACTTTGCAAGTAGCCAAATGGTCAGTGAGCAGCTGGAAAAGCTGCACCACTCTGCAGCCATCAGGGAACGCAACTAAACCCACCCGGGGCCAGAATCCAATGGCTGCCCAGATCAGGCCCTGCCAGGGAGCAGCTGAAGGGACCCTGGGACCGGGACCGGGGCGGAGGCGTCATTCCAGGCCTGTAACAGGCTCCTTTGATAGCTCCGAACAGACAGATACACAGATACACGCACACACACACAGACACACACTCAGAGACAGACACACAGGCAGACGGACACACAGAGAAGACACAGAAAGAGACACACACAGAGATGCACATATAGACACACAGACACACACAGACAGATGCACCCAGACATACACACACACGGACACACACAGAGACAGACACACAGGCAGACAGACATAGAAAGAGACACACACAGAGACACACAGAGACACACAGACAGATATACCCAGACATACACATACACAGAGACACATACAAATAGATACACACACAGACACATACATAGACACACACAGACATACACACACAGACATACACACAGGCAGATAGACACAGACAAGAATCAGAGACACACACAGACATACATACAGACACAGACAGATACACATAGACAAACATACACACAGACACACACAGACAAACAGACATAGATACACAAACACAGACACACACACAGACAGACACACACAGACAGACATAGATACACAAACACAGACACACACACACAGAAACACACAGACACACATACAGATACACATACACAGATACACACAGATATACACATACAAACAGACACACACAGACGGAGAATGTATAGACACAGACATGTGCACAGATATGCACAGACACACACAGACAGACACAGACACACACAGACAGACAAACACAAACAGAAAGATACACACAGACACACACAGAGACACACTGACACACACACACAGCTGGCGGCAGAGCCAGGTTTGACCACATCTTATTCCACCTCTGCTCACGCCTGGACTGGTGTTCTTCTGTTCAGAGGACTCCCTTCTCGAGCCCCCAACACTCCCAGTCCAGGACAGAGGGGCCACACCCGCTTCTTCCCTGCCCAAAGCTCTGATGCACAGACGCACAGCTGTGAAGAGAGGGCGGCGACCCACCTGGGCTTGACGAGGATTTTACTCTGGGCCACCGCTTTCCTGGCCACAGGGCTCCCGGGAGCAGACTCCAAGTCTTCGTTCAGGGCCTCCTCCAAGGAGAAGCTGGGCTGGGACGGCTGCCCCCTGACCACAGGCACTTCTCTGTGGTACTGGCCGAGCTTGGAGCTGTGCTCGGACGGGGCCCGCGACTTCACCCGGCGCCGGCTGGGGACGACTTCGGCCTGGACAGGATACTCGATGGTGAACAGTCCTGCCGACGGAAGGCGCGGCGGTCAGCCCCAGGCCCACCGCTGGTTGCACCCTGGGCCCTGATCCCTGGCTCCCGACACTGAAGTCATTTTCGTCTGCTTCCTCGGCCGCGTTGTACTGACACGCATTGGCTCTGCTTTCCCTGTGAGATGGGAACTCTCCTGGGGCCAGGGACACGGGCCTGCCCGCCCTTCCCGACCACTGACAGGTGCCGGGCACACACAGAGACAGCCCCACACTGGGTCCCTGCCTCTGGGAGCCCCTAGCACCTCGTGGGTCAGAGAGAGGGGCGGAGTCGCCAGGCGGTGAGCAGGGACTATACTTCCAGGGCAAGAAAAGTGCCACGGGAACCCAGAGGCCAGCGTGGCCGGACCCCGGGGGGGAGGCTGGGAAGGAAAAAACTGAGAACTTAGGGGTCAGAAGGAATGCGCAGGGGAGCACAGAGCCTGAGTGGCCCCCTGGGCTGGGAGGGTCAGCGCTCCTTCGGCCAGGAGGGACAGCACTCATGCCCACTCGGATGCAGCTGAGTTTCTTCTCTGTGCCCCCAGCTGTCACCCTCCCCCAGGACTGCCAGACAGCAGTGGGTGACCGGAGAGGAGAAGCTGAGAAGGAAACTCGGGGTAAGGGCAGAGTCAGACAGACAGACAGCCAGAACCTGGCCCAGGAAAATCTGCCCATTGCACAGAGAGGCTGAGAACACACACAGCAGGCTTGAGTCAGGGGCACGGGAAGGGGCCCCGAAGGAACTGTGTGGCCCCCAGCCAGCCCCTGTCACAGTCCGGCCACTGACCCCTGGGGACACTTCCGGGAAGGGGGTGGGGCATGCAGGGAAAGAGCACTGTGGGGTCTGGGGACCCGATGGGCAGAGGGTGAGCACCTTGCTGCCCCCTTACCCGCTGACAGCAGGACGCAGTTCATGAACTGGGCCACCGTCTTCTGGAAGCGCTTCTTGATGAGCAGAGCACGGCTGGCCCGGGACCCCTTGTCGTCCATGCTGCTCACCCTGTGGGCCACCTGCCGGCAGACCCCGGGCATGGGCAGGTGTGCCTGCCGGCCAGCCCACACCCCTGCACCAAGCCCCACCAGGCACTTCCTCGCTCGGACCTCCTCGGGGTCTCCTAGGACGTCCCTAGGAAGTAGCTCGGCCACGGGGAGATGCTGAAGGCAGAAACGCGCTCCATCCTGCTGGCTGTCTGGCAGCAGGTGACCAGACTCTGCTCAGACACTGCCCGAGCGGCTGCACTCAGTGACCTCTGCAGCCGCCCCGGTCTAGCCCTCTCGCCACCTCCACATCCCAGGCCACAGTTGGCTGGTCCCTGCAGACACGGAGGGCCTGGGTTCGAGGTGGGGTACCTCGAAAGTCACTCTGGAATCCCCCCAGTGTGGCCAGTGTCCACTTTCCACTTCATCCTGTCCCGCGACCAGCCCGGCTGCCCGCCTCACCCACGACACCACCCCGAGGCGGGTGTGGGATGCAGAGGGGACCCCAATAGAGCACCCCTCCCCTGCCGGAGCCCAGCCCACCCACACCTTCTCCTGGTAGGTGGGAATTGGTCCAGGATGGCCCCAGGGACTAGGAAGCTCCGGCAGCCAGAAACCGGCCCAGACGGCTACTTATCTTATTTATTTGTCTGTAATTTATACCCCAACTGTCCCGAAGGCACCTGAGGCAGCCCTCCCAGCTAATAAAGCATTTAAATGGAGGCACTGCCTCCGCTGCGAAGGGCTGTCTTAATGGAAATGCTCTCAGAGGGGCCGGGCTGCTGGACTGACACTGTGCATCACTCCGACAGGGAGGGAAGGGAACCTGGGGCAGCACTTCCAGAAACTTCCAGTGCTGGGAACCTACCCCCACTCTCAGTTCTGCAAGACCGCCCTGGGTTTTGTGGATGAGTGGTAACCATCCCCAATTTCTCTCTCCCTCCCTCTCCCCCTCCCTCCCTTCCTCTCTCTCTCTCTCTCTCTCTCTCTCTCTCACACACACACACACACACACACACACACACTCACACGCACACACACAAACACACACACACATACACGGAGTTGAACTGAAAGGGTCCTAGGATAAGAACACACACACACTATGGGCTGGAGCCATAGTACAGAGGGGAGGGCGTTAGCCTTGCACACAACTGACCCGGGTTCGATCCTCAGCACCCCATATGGTCCCTTAAGCCCAGCCAAGAGTGATTCCTGAGTGCAGAGTTACTGCTGAGCATCGCCAGGTGTGGTCCCCAAATAAACAAACTAAAAGACTGGTCACACATCCCCTTAAAGATGGGGAAACTGGGCTGGAGCAGTAGCACAGTGGGTAGGGCATTTGCCTTGCACGCGGCCAACCCGAGTTCTATTCCCAGCATCCCATATGGTCCCCTGAGCACTGCCAGGGGTGATTCCTGAGTGCAGAGCCTGGAATAACCCCTGTGCATTGCTAGATGTGAACCAAAAAGGAAAAAAAGATGGGAAAACTGAGGCACAGGAAGGGAAGAGACTCGCTGGGGTCTTACAGCTTCCCGCGAGCCTTGCCCTGGGTCAGCCACACTCCTTTGCAGCCCTCAGGAAACGGGCCAGTTCTCTGAGTCTGGGCGAGCTCGCACAAATATTCTGAGAAGCTTCACCTGGCCACCAAGGTCAGCATTTGGAAAGCCCTGCTGCCCACAGTCCACCTGCTGACCCCCCTTGGGGAGGACCTAGTTAGACAGACGGTCCACTCCCCCAGCCCTCACACAGGGCTGTCATCTCCCACCTCTGTGCAGTTTCTAGAAGCTCACTGAGTGTCTGCTCTGCTTCTCCCAACAGGAAATGTTCCCCACCACGGTGGCACTTTGAGCCATCCCACGTGTTCCCACGTCTCTCCTGGCTTCTCCGGCACCATCAGCCTCCCTCCAAGCTGAAGGGGTAGTGTCGGGTACGAAGGTCGTTTTAAAGGCTCCTGTAGTCACATCAAAAATATTCTTCAGTGTCGGATCAAGAGAGTAGCAGGCAGGGCACTTGCCTTGCACGCAGCCAACCTGGGTTTGATCCCCGGGGCCCCTGCATGGTCCCCTGAACCCTACCCAGGAGTGATTCCTGAGCACTGCTTGGTGTGGCCCCGAACACAAAACAGCAACAAAACAACAAAAAAACATTCTTCAAGGGTGAAATAAATGCGAAGAACTTCATTTCACTCTCTACACTCAGATTAGGATGTTGACAGAAATCAAGACCAAGGCTGGGGGCTGGAGCGATAGTCCAGTGGGGAGGGTGTTTGCCTTGCACGTGACCGACCCGGGTTCGATCCCCAGCATCCCATATGGTCCTCCAAACACTGCCAGGAGTAATTCCTGACTGCAGAGCCAGGAGTAACCAGAGCCAGCAAATAAATAAATTAATTAATTAATTAAAAAAAAGACCAAGGGTGAAGGGAGGCTTCACATTCTCCCTTCAGACAGTCTTTGAAATGAAGCTCCCTGTGTCCCCAGCTCTAGCCCCTGGAGACCCCCAAGAGCAGCGTCCCATCCAGCTTGCTCTGAGTGCAGTTAGTGAGGGAAGTAAGAAACTGGGGGTCGTGCGTGGTCCCTGGCCTGAGGGAGGTTTCCCTTCTCTCCACCCCCTGGTGTCTTCCCCACTGAGTCCTGGTTCCCAGCCTGGTCTGTTAGCGCACAGCCACCTCCTCTGGGAGCTGCAGGTGCTCGACGTGCTGCTTTTCCACAGAGGAGACAACTCACTTTTTCTCTCTCTCTTTTTTTTCTTTTTGGGTCACACCCGGCGATGCTCAGGGGTTACTCTTGGCTCTGCTCTCAGAAATTACTCCTGGCGGTGCTCGGTGGACCATATGGGATGCCGGGTATTGAACCCAGGTCAGCCACATGCAAGGCAAACGCCCTACCTGCTGTGCTATCAATCCAGCCCCTCACTCTAAAAAGCTTTGCAAGGAACACAGCTGCGTGGTCTCAGAGGAGGAACTGGACGGCTGGACATGGCTTTTAGAGAACAAGCCCTGGGGCCAGTCTGTCAGGACGGAGACGCACATCAGCCCAGACCCCACATCCGCGGGCTATTTTGGTCTTTAAGTAGCAATTAGGAAGTCATGGGCACCAGAGTTTCTGGGGTGCTCAGAGAACCCCTCAAGCAAACACCTTTCCCTCCACCTCCGCAGCTCCCGCAATGCTCTCCTCCCTTCACCCCTACACACAGACATGAGGCTTAAGCCCCAGAGACGAGAGAGCCAACGCTCCTTCCTTTGCACACACACACCCAGCCCACTCGGCACCCTGCAGGCGGGACGCATGAGTGTAAAGCACCACTGAGGCAGACACGCAGGAGCGCAGGGGTGAGGGCAGGCAGGGGTGCAGGGAGAGTTCCGAGTCCCTCATCCCTCACTTCATCCCTACAGGGCTGGGCCCTGCGGTTTCTGGCTGCTCTAGGAGCCGGTGGGGGCTGTGGGAGGTGGCGGCAGGAGCACGGATGAGCTTGCTCGGAACATCTAATCTTACGGCTCTTCCACACCGGCCACAGAGAGGGGACAGATGTGCTGGGAAGACCCCTCCAGGCCCAGATGGTGAGCTACAAGCTGAGGGGGTGGTGTTCTGCTTCAGCCTCAAGGAGCCTCCCCACAGAGGCCGACCCCAGAGAGCACCACCCTGGCGTCCAGTGCATCTGGAAGCCCCCTTCGTGGGCCCTTGGTCACCTCCCATCTCACCCTGGATGCTGATGTTCTCGATGTCATCAACTCCCCGGGGAGGAAGATGAGGCCCCCTTTGCCCATGCCCCCTCCCCAAGAGCTGACTCTGGACCCCAGTAGGAGCCACAGCAGAGCCGGGCTTCCAGGCTCGGACAATTTTCTTCCTCCTTCTCTTTTAGGTTTTTCACCCAGTGGTGCTTGGACTACTCCTGTGACAGTGCTCAAGAGCCGAACCCACGCTCTTGCCTGCAACACGTGAGCCGCAGCCGTCTCCCCGGCCCTTTGCTGATTCTCTGACTTCACGGGAACTCCCCACTGGGCCAATGATACTGGTTTCTACACAAAGTTGTTCTAGAAAGAGCTGGTTCAGGCCACGGGGGGTGGGTTCGCCTCTTGCTGGCACACTGCTGGCCACTCTGTCTAGCATCACTGTCCCTCTCTGGGCAACGGCACTGTGGGATTCTGCTAGGAAATAGACTCATCTTGGGGTTAGAGTGACAGCACAGCAGGTAGGGCGTTTGCCTTGCACGCGGCCGACCGGGTTCGATTCCCAGTATCCCATATGGTCCTCTGAGCATCACCAGGAGTAACTCCTGAGTGCATGAGCTAGGAGTAACCCCTGTGCATCGCCAGGTGTGACCCAAAAAGCAAAAAAAAAAGAGCAGGGCAGGCCAGAGCAATAGCATAGATGGTAGGGCACTTGCCTTGCACGCGGCCAACCCAGGTTGATCCCTGGCATCCCATATGGGCCCGTGAGCACTGCCAGGAGTAATTCCTGAGTGAAGAGCTAGGAGTAACCCCTGTGCATTGCCAGGTGTGACCCAAAAAGCAAAAAAGAAAGAAAGAAAGGAAGAAAGAAAGAAAGAAAGAAAGAAAGAAAGAAAGAAAGAAAGAAAGAGACTCATCTTTCATCCGGGTGGTTCACTGGGGCTGATCACACCCCACGGCTCCCAGGGTGGATCTGACTCTCAAACACGGCCAGTGCGACCAGCGCACACTCCTTGGCCTGGGGATTATCTCAGGGACAGGCAACTAACAGAGGAGGACGCTGCTCGTGTCGCTTCTCCTGCAGGGAAGGAAGGTCTTTCCCCCCTGAAGGTTCGAAGCGGGTACAGCAAAGAGCCCACAGTGGCTCATGACCATCTTGTCTCCACAAGGAGAGAAACTCCCTGAGGAGAGCAGAGCCAAGAGCCAAGACGAGCTGAAGAACTCATGGAACACCTGGATCCAGTCACACCTGAAGCTTCGTATCAATAGATATTTCTGTTTATGGAGCCAGTATTGTCTTTTTTGACGCCCAGTCCAATTTGCATCGAATTCTGACGTGGACAACCAAATCACTGCTAAGTGATAGAAATAGCTTCCCAAAACAGAGAGGGGGGCACTGGTGCCAGGCAGAAGTGGTGAGCAGGAACCCACTAAGAAATGACCGGGCTGGGTCCTGCAGGGGAAAGAGGCCAGCAGGAGCAGAGTGGGGTGGCAGGCCTGGGTTTGTGCATGCCCCGTCTGTTCTGTCTTACCTTTTTCTCATGTGGCACCCCGTGGGGGCAGTTGGTGGCCGAGACGGAGAGCGTCACCGTTTCCTGCCAGCAGGTGAATGTGACGCTGATGGAATCCTGCCCCAGCACGGTCAGCTTCATCTGTTCGTTCACCTGCGACGAAGAAGGTGGTGCTCAGTGGTTCTTGCTACTCCCACCCACCCACCACGAAGCCCCAGGACCCTCTGACTGGGGGCGGGGAGAGCCACAGCCTTCTGGAGCTTACCTGATAACTGAGCTACTTTGTCAGTTAGGAGTCATTCCATTGCCCGTGGCAGAATTCAATGCAAACTGGAACTAAGTATTGACTGGACTTTTATTTAATTTTTATTTTATTTTTTATTTTTGCTTTTTGGGTCACACGCAGCGATGCTCAGGGGTTACTCCTTGCTCTGCACTCAGGAATCACTCCTAGCGGTGCTCAAAGGACCATATGGGATGCTGGGAATCGAACCTGGGTTGGCTGCATGCAAGGCAAACACTCTCCCCGCTGTGCTGTTGCTCCAGCCCTGCGTCTGGACTTTTAAAGTAGCATATTTAAATGCATATTGAATACAGCTATAGATGCACACATACACATATATCATGGGATAGATAGAAATTCTAGAGCTGAAAATAGAGACCAAAGAATTTAAAGTGTCAGGATTCGCATAATAGATTGGGAGGAACAAAATTAAGTTGGTGAGCCTGGAGGCAGATACACAGATATTATACAATCTGAAAAGTAAAGAGGAAAAAAGTCTGAAAATCAATTAAAAACATCAGAGCCTTCCAGGGTCTTTGACACAGTCTACAGCATGTGTGACAGGCTTGGAGAAGGAGCAGATGAGTTTCTAAAATAAATGGCAGAAGGGGCTGGAACAATAGCACAGTGGGTAGGGCGTTTGCCTTGTACACAGCTGACCCAGGTTCGATTCCCAGCACCCCATACAGTTCCCCAAGCACCGCCAGGAGTAATTCCTGAGTGCAAGAGCCAGGAGTAACCCTTGTGCCTCACCGGGTGTGACCCAAAAAAGCAAAATAAATAAATAAATAAATAAAATGGCAGAAGTTGTCCAAAATTTGGTGAAAGACTTGAATTTGCAAATTCAAGGAGCTCCGTAAATATTGAACAGAATATGAAGACAGTCACACTGACACAGAGCGTAGAAAACTTGGAACCAAAGAGACTCTGCTAGGGGCTGCGGCAAAATGAGATGGATTGAACAATGACCAGACTTTTCATCTTTAACGATGGAGAGCAGAAAGAGTGGGACACACCTCTAAAATGCTGGAAGGAAAAAGGGCCAACACAGAATGCAGTATCCAGCAAAAACTCTTCTTCAGAAGGACAGTTTTTCATGAAAGAAAATAGAATCTGGTGCTCCCAGAGCTGCACCTCAAGACATGCCACAGGATGGCCATTGAGAGGATTATGCTAAGAGAAGTGGGTCAGAAAGAGAGGGGCAGATGTAGAATGAATCCTTAAAACATCATACATAAATATATATATGTATTAAAGTATAAAACTGTATAAAATATTAAAACATGTCAAGAACTTTAAAACACATAGCTTGATTCTATAGTCTCATTCCCAGCAAGTAATTTGATATAAAGACCAAATAGGAGCTGGAGCAATAGCACAATGGGTAGGGCATTTGCCCTGAACGCAGCCGACGCAGGTTCGATTCCCAGCATCCTATATGGTCCCCTAAGCACCGCCAGAGGTAATTCCTGAGTGCAGAGCCAGGAGTAACCCCTGTGCATCGCCAGGTGTGACCCAAAAAGCAAAAAAAAAAAGACCAAATAAGCAAGTATGATTGCTTATTATCTTATAAATAAGTCATACTTATTTCTTATGTAGGACTGTACTCATTTGTGGAATATAAAATATCATAATATGAGACTAACACACAAAGGCAGTAGAGACAAGGGCCAAGAAGAGTGCTCCACAGTTGGAAGCCTGACTCATGAGCTGAGGGAGAAGGCAGCTGGGATAGAGAAGGGATCACTAAGCCAGTGATGGTTGGAGGGATCACGTGGGATGGGAGATGTGTGCTCAAAATAGATAAAGGACCAAACGTGATGGCCTCTCAGTATCTGTTTTGCAAACCATAATGCCCCAAAGTAGAGAGAGAGTAAGAGAGAAATTGTCTGCCATAGAGGGAGGGGGCGGGGTGGGACGTGGAGTGGGGTGGGGAGGGATACTGGGAACATTGGTGGTGGGAAATGTACAGTGGTAGAGGAACGGGTATTCGAACATTGTATGACTGAAACTCAAACATGAAAGCTTTGTAACTGTATCTCACAGTGATTCAATTGAAAAAAAAAAGAAATGCCACAGGAAATTCTTTGGGCTGAAGAAAAAATGATAGTAGACCTAGGAATATATCCCAAGGGCCCAAAGGCACAAATCGGAGAAGACATCAGTACTCCTATGTTCACTGAAGCACTACGTATAATAGCCAAAATCTAGAAACAACCCAAATTCCCATGAACATCTGACTGGATAAAGAAACTACAGGACATCTACACATTGGAATACTGATCATTCTTAAAGAGATAAAATCATTCAATTCACTGCAGCGTGGATGGATGTGGAGAGAATCATGTGGAGTGAAATCAGCCAGAGGGAGAGGAACAGGCTCAGAACGGTCTCACATGTGGGATAGAAGGGAACCTCGGAGGGAAGGTCAAATGCCCAGTGGCCATAGGAAGGAAGAGCAGGAGAACTGGTCTCGGGAGGAAGCTTGGCACTGGGACGAGAGTGAGGGGGATACGTGAGGGAAGGGAACACTAGGATTATGGGGGAGGGGAACGTGCCTGCCACAGAGGCAGGCAGTGGGGGAGGGAAACGGGGGACACTGGTGGAGGGTGGTGGGTGCTGGTGAAGGGACGGGTGTTGGAACATTATACTCCTGAAACTCCATTATAAATATCTTTATAACTTTTCCATTCACAGTGATTCAATAAAAACAAAACAACAAAAATCAAGAACAATGATAGTAGAGAGGGAACTTGGATTTTCAGAGAGGAATGAAAAATACCAGAAGAGCCAAAACACCTGGTTTAAAACTGGCCAGTATAATCTCCAGGACTTCATGCAAATGCCTTTTGCCTCTCCCCCACCCTCGCCAGCTCTCCCTTACAAGGAGCACTTGTGAACCATTAATGACACATTTTGTCCCAGTTCCACTTTTTTGGGGGAGTGGAGCTCACAGCTGATGATACTTAATGCTCATTCCTGGCTCTGTGCTCAGTTATTTTTATTATTTAGTTTTCATAAAAACAGTGTAAGGCAGGAAAGAAAGATTTTTTTGGTTTTGCTTTTTTTTTGGAGGGGGGCGAGGGGGCACACCAGGTGACCCTTGAGGCTTACTCCTGGCAGTGCATCGGGAGGGACCATATGGGATGCCAGAGACTAACCTGTGTCAGGTGTGTGCAAGGCAAGTGCCCAACCCACTGCACTGTCTCTCCGGTCCCAGGAAGGATCTTTAAACTGTTGTCTAGATCTGCACAAAGCAGCACAGAGTCTAGCAAAACCAAAGTTTGCACTCGGCCCTACAGATTCTCATCCCAGTGCTCTGTCCCTTTGGTCACAGTACCACACGGCATGGCTTGTGGTGGCCGCTGCAATTCATTTACAGCCTGGCATTATCAGCTTCCAGACGTTCCACACTTTCATACAAATGGTTCAATGTCTAAGCCACCGTCTCCAGACACCGGTGGATTTGTGATGCTGAACCTGGCTAAGCATCGTCATCATGAGAACGGCAACATCCAGAACTCGAGACAGAACAAGTGAGTCACAAACTCTCCGGGGCTGCGCCTGAGAAGTGTGGGGTTGGGTTTGGTTTTTGTGTTATTGGCATTCTCTTAGGTGACTCTGAGATGCAGCCAGAGCTGAGAACTTTCTCATCGTCTGACTGTCAAATGATTAAACCCAAATTTTGGGCACCGTGAGGAGAGAGAAATGGGTGTGGACTAGAATGTCACAAAGGAGAAAATGCCTGAATGGAGCATCGAAGGAAGGAGAGAGAGAGAGAGAGAGAGAGAGAGAGAGAGAGAGAGAGAGAGAGAGAGAGAGAGAGAGAGAGAGAGAAGGAGGGGGGACCCTCAGGCCAGGTGGCGTAAGCCATATTCAAGGGACTGGACATTGGGCTGGAGCAACAGTACAGTAGGTTGGGTATTTGCCTTGCATATGGCCAACCTGGGTTCGGGTCCCCTGAGCACCGCTAGGAGTAATTCCTGAATGCAAAGCCAGGAGTAACCCCTGTGCATAGCCAGCTGTGACCCAAACCCCCCCCCCCAAAAAAAAAAAGAAAAAGAAAAAAAGGGACTGGATGTTTCTGAACAGAGCTGGTACCTAAAGAAATTAAATGCAGATGAAAATTCAGTGGCCAATGCAGAGGCCGGAGCGATAGCACAGCGGGGAGGGTGTTTGCCTTGCATGCAGCCGACGTGGGTTCAATCCCCGGCATCCCATATGCTCTCCTGAGTTCACCAGGAGGGATTCCTGAGCACAGAGCCAGGAGTTACCTCTGAGCATCACCCCCAAACCACCACCCCCCCAAAAAAGAAATAAAAAGAGAAAAGCAAATCCAGTGGTCAGTGCAGAGAACGGACAGGAAGAGCACAGGACAGAGGTCAGTGGGCAGATGCAGTCACGCAGCCCTTCCTGGGGGCTCTTGGTTCCATGCCTTCTTGGGTGGGCTCTATGTCCTGCTTCCTGAAACCCAACTCTGCAATCCTGTCCCCTACTCAAGTTCTCTCCTTGTCTACCCTGCATTCTCATGACTCCCCTAGACTTTGAATCCCTCAGAAAGGTCTTGTCTTATTTATCTTTCGATGCCTAGATTCTTGGTTCCTGTTGATCCTTAGGGTCCGATCGGAAGTGTCTGGTTCCTGGGGAAGCCCATCTGGGAAGAGGCTGCTTCATATCCTGCGATGCACTGATCTGACACAGAATCACCCACCCCCAACCGCGAGCAGGGCCCAGGATGAGAGGCGCCAACACAAAGTGGCCAGCACACTTGATTTTTTATTAGTAAATTAACCAAGCTATTATTTGATACTACCAACTCAGATTTAATTTAGTATTTCATAAACCTTTGATGATAACTGCTGAACAACCAAACGACTGGACGGGAGGGAGAGGTATAGAGTGTGTCTATCAACTACCTCTGATTCTCAGACTTTTAGTTTTCACAGAGCGGAAAGTTAAAAAATCGAAAAACCAGAGAGACCAGCCTAGAGGCCAACACGGCCCACTGCAGATGGACATTAAGGGAAAAAACTGCCAACTACTAACACCAACTTCTTTTTCTTTTTGTTTTCATTTGGGGGCTACACCTGGCGATGCTCAGGAGTTACTCCTGGCTCTGTGCTCAGGAACAACTCCTGGTGATGCTGGGGCTTGAACCCAGCTCAGCGGCCTGCAAGGCCAACATCCTCTCCACTGTAGTATCGCTCCAGTCCCCCACACCATGTAGGACACAATAAAACTAAAACCTAAGGACCTCAGTAGTAAACATAAGGTAGGAAGGACATGTCTGAAAAAGGTCAATACCGCCGCCAACAGTGGCTAGAGGCTCGTAGAAAGTTCCCTCCGGCCAGCCCTGCACCAGTGCCTGTCACCTGGGAACCTTGGAGTGGGTGGGGGGATCAGGGGCTTACAAGGTCTTCGACAGGTGGGGTTCGTGGCTAGCAGGGCATACGGTGGCTCTTGATGGGGGCGGCCGAGGGGCGGTCCCCCTGCCCACCCTACCTTGTACTCCAGAGAGAGTAAGGTCTCGGTCTTGGCTGTCCAGCTCCACTTGTGAACTACATAGCCCTTGAGGTCATTGGTGGTTCCTCCTTCCTCGTCCCAGACCAGGACGAACGGGCAGCTAGGAGAGACAGGGAGGTGAGGCCCCTGGCTGAGGCCCTGCCATCCGCCCAGGACTGTTCGTCTCCCAGTGCTGCTGGGGGAGTCTATTAGCCAAGGCAGGTCTGTGGGAAGAGGTGGCAGCGCAGACCAAACCCAGAAAATGAAAAGTGGGCCAGGGCAGCCAAGATCTCAGCACTGCCAGGGGAACTGCACCCTGTGTGGGGCCGGCAGAGTCCACTCTTGTCTGGCCAGCATGCGTGCTGCTCTTCAAGGGCCCCTGAAGGCAGCAGCATCCACGGCATTGCCTTCATTTTCTTCTGGTATAAAAATATTTTCTCCACTACAAAATTTTCCCATTGGGCTGGAGCAATAATACAGCAGCTAGGGCATTTGTCTTGCATGCGGCTGACTTGGGTTCGATTCCCAGCATCCCATAGGGTTCCCTGAGCACCGCCAGGAGTAATTCCTGAGCATTGCCGAGTGTAACCCAAAAAGAAAAAAAAATTCCCATTGATTCTGGCCAGCACTCAAGATTTTAGGGGCTGGAGCACAGTGGGTAGGGCACATACCTTGCACCAGTTGGCCGGCTGCAATGCCCGGCACCCCATATGGTCCCTTGAGCCCTACCAGAAGGGCTTTCTGAGTGCAAAGCCAGGAGTACCCCTAAGTGACCCCAGATATGGCCTACCCCAAGAAAACCCTCCCCAATTTTTTTTTTATAAAATCAAGATATCAGTGTTCTGAGAGGTATAAGAAAGACTTGGGGAACCGCCAGACTGGTGAGTATATGGACGGATGAAGAGAGAGCCCTGCATTTCACTGCATCACCACTGCAGATTCTACCGCAAATGTTTCTGCATAAAAGTGGGGTCTTGGACGGTGTAATGGTGGAGGGGTTGGTGTTGGAATATTGGATGTAATAAAATTTTAAAAAATTGGAATCAACCATTGTGCAGAGCTTTTATAAAATGTTAGAAGCCAATTAATTAGCCAATTAAGCCAAGAATGAAAAAAAATTGGGTGTGGCAATAATGTGGTGGTGATAGTGAAGAGATGATATACGGGTGGCCTGAAAGCACATTATGTCCCTGAGGCCAGCACCTGACCTGCTACCTCCCTGGGGTCTCACACCTTCGGACACTGCCCAGACATCCCTCCCTGCTTCTTCCATGTGCTCCAACAGGCCGCCCCCTCCTCCTCTCCTCTCCCACCCCAGAGACAGTTCCGTGTGGCCGGGTGTCCCCCAACCTACTCACCGGGTCTTGAGGTTGTAGTGGGCTAGGTTGTAGTGGACGCAGCCCTGGCCTTCCGCGGTGAACAGGGCCAGGAATAAATGGGGAGAGTCATTGAAGAGCCAGGTGATGGCTCTGCCTTTGCAGCACGTAGGAATCTGACACATGGCAATGTTTCCGGAGGGATAGCTGGCAGAAACGGTCAAGCAGAACTAACAGAAACCGTTGGGGACATGCTCTCGCGGGGGTAGGGCATGGGAGGAAGGTCTGCGTCCCAAAGGGTCCGCGTGTGGCTCATGGTCTCCACCGCCAGACTGTCCCCAGACTGTGCTTAAGGAAGTGACCGTGAACCTGCTCGCCTCTCTCCTCAACCTGGTCTTTGCTCCCAGTCTGTGCCCGAAGCATTTAGCTCTGTCTCACACCCCAGCAGGGGTTCACGACACCTAAGAGGTCCTGCAGGACTCCGGGAATTTAGGGCTACCACCAGGAAGGTGCAGGACTGACCAGGACAGGCTGGCCCGCCTCCGGGTGAGGAACCCAAGGTGCAGAGAAACCTGCCTCAATCCACAAGCGTGGGAACTCAGAGGCTAGAAATAGTTCTGGTAGTTTCTGGTAGTTTCCAGGCTGCCTCCCTTTCTGACCATCCTGGAGACTGGGAGATGTCTTCCTGCTAAACTCTCAACTAAGGTGCCTCCAGGAGCCTGAGTCCAGGCAGGGGGAAATGAGAGTGTGGGAACTATCACAAAACCGTCCAGGAGTTCCGGGGGCAATGTCAGGGCTGGACTCTGAGGTCCCCCTCCCAGTCCTTCCCTAGCAGCCTGGGAAAAAGAAAGTAACAGCAAGGAATTGTAGAAAGATACTAATTAGAAATTCTGGGGTCAATTACTGCAATAACTAGGACAGACTTAGCCGCAGATTGATTGTTTGGAAAGAAGAATCAATAAACCCGAAGGCAGACTGAAGTTATCTACTGAGGATCATTTGATTTGTAATGAAGAAAAAGGAGGGATGGGTACTCGATCATTGTATAACTGAAACCCAAGCACAAAAACTCGTAAGTCTACAACTGTACCTGATGGTGTTTCACTATTAAAAATTTTTTAAAAAAAAAGAAAGAAAAAGGAGAGACCAAAAGTCATAGAATGGGAGAGGAGAGAGGAAAGAACGTTTGGAGAAATAATGGCACCAAATCCCCCCAGTTTGATGAAACACAGGAACCTGCACATTTAAGAAGCTCAGCGGACTCCAAATAGTAATAACTCCAAGACACACTTCAAGAAAAAACATTTTAAACTGCCAAACGACAAATAATCTTGAAAACAGCAAGAGGAAAGAGACATGTGTGAGAGATCCCACCAAGAGAAATGGCCAGTTTCTCATCAGAAAGCACGGGGATGAAACATTTAAAGAGCTGACAGGGGAAATCTGTCAACCAAGAACTCTCTATTGAGCAAAACCATCCTTTAAAAAAATGAAAGTGGAGTTGGAGGATAGTACAGTGAGGAGGACACTTGTCTTGCATGCGCCAACCTGGGTTGGCCCATCAGGTCCCCTGAGCACTGTAGGGAGTAATTTCTAAATACATATCCAGGAAGAAGAGCATCACTGGGTATAATCAAAAAAAAAAAAAAGAAAAAAAGAAAAAAAAGAAAGGAAAGAAAAAAAGAAAACACCAAAATAAAATGAAAATAAAAGACAGCAATGAAGATTTTTCCACATAAGCAAAGAGCCAAAGCTGAGGGAATTCACTGTTTTATCTGCTACAAGATTGATTAGAAATTCCACTATGTGAAATGTAAAATAAAGGGAGAGTCCTTGGCGCTGGCATGAAAGGACACCACACATTAGCTCAAAGCCATACGGAGAAAAGACCCTCTTTTTGGGCGCCTTACAAATGATCCTGTAAACAGAGGCCAGAGATATGGCCACGAGTTCAATTCCTGGCACTGTGTGGACCCCTGGGCACTCCCCAGCAGAACCCTGGGAGTCGCTGGGTAAAACCCAAACAACACTGGGCAGGGAGCACTGCACTGTAAAGCCCGAGCACTCAACCATGAAACCAGTCTCAGCAGACCTAACCTCACTGGGAGTGCCCCCAGGCCTCCCGAGCCCACTGGATGTGCCCCCCTATTTCATACACATCTATGTGGCAAAGGGAACAAGTTCAGTAAATATAAAACCCAGCATTATTTTATTTTCAGTTTATAAAAGCATTAGCTCAAAGGGCTGGAATTGGAGTTCATTTCTGGTGCCACATGCTTCCCTGAGCGGGGATCAGTCCCCAGCAATGAACCGGGGGTAGCCCCCAAGCACTGCTAAATAAATAAGAGATAATCTCCCTTCTGGGCTGGAGCAATAGCACAGCGGGTAGGGCATTTGCCTTGCACGCAGCCAACATGGCCAACCTGAGTTCGATTCCTCTGCCCCTCTCAGAGAGCCCGGCAAGCTACCGAGAGTATCTCGCCCGCACAGTAAATCCTGGAAAGCTACCCATGACATATTTGATATTCCAAACACAGTAACAAGTGTCAAATGGAGACGTTACTGGGCCCGCTCGAGCAAATTGATGAACAACGGGAGGACAGTGACAGTGAATCTCCCTTCTTAGCCCTATTCTGCCTATTCTGGTCTAAAGTCAAAAGCACTCATGGAAAGGGCATAAAACAGAAATTGCCAATCTATGTTAATGTCACCCAGGTGTAGGGAAGGGTTAATTTCCTGACAGCAACAACATAAAGGAGAAAGAACTGAGCCCTAGGGGTAATCCAGACTAGTTTGCTCCCATCACAGTGCTCAAGAGTATTCATTTCCCAGGTGTGACATGACTTGGAGAAACATAAAATGAAACATCAGTGGGGCCGGGATCTTAGAAACTCTCTGAGACCTTCTCTGGCCTCTTCCTGGTTCCTGGTGGCGGCCAAGAATCTCTGAGTGAGACATGCAGCACGACTGTGTCCTCATTCTCTCTCTTCTTTTAAGGGCGCCAGACGTTGAATTAGGGTCCACCCTAATCTGACTCCCCGCAGTTAATTGACAGTTAATCTGAACATCTCAGAGCCTGCATATTTTAAGGTGGGTCCCTAAAAGCTCACAGTATTGGCAGAATAAAGGGAGGATGTCGGAGCTGCAGGCTCTGTGGCCCCAGAGAATTTCATGGCATCTGTCGTGTGGATGAGGAGAGGAGGCCGGGACACCGGAAGCACCCGGCTCTCCAGGCACCTGGGAACTGAGATCATGCCACTGCTTGGAACTAGATAGAGTAGTGAAGACTACGAATCCGGGCAGTTTTAGAAACTACAGTGTGGAAGGTGGGGGACCTCCCTTATAAGCAAAGCTGCCAGGTGCTTCGGTTCCAAAGCTGCCCCTGGAATCAGCAGAGGAGAAATCCGAGAGTCTCCATAGCAGGTGACCAGAGGCGGCAGAGACCCATTGCTAAGCCTTGGGGAAGGAGCAGGGGCCACTGTCACTGAACTCGAACCATGGACTGGTCACAGACGGGAGGGGAAGGCAAGGGTCCCTGTTTGGACTCATCTTTCCCACCCAGGGCAGCGATTTAAGAACCTCCAGTGCATCAACCCCTCCCCACCACATATGGGATGGGGGGAAGAGGAGGATGCTGGGAAACAACAAATCATGAGCCACACTGCCCCCTACTGGGAAAACAAAATAAATGCCCAAAAGGCTTAAGTCTGGCGACTGAAGGAGTAAGATTGAAAATGCCTCAAAACCCAAGCTTAAAAGACACGCTAAAAACAAGAGTTCCCCAAAAACCAACTTTCAAGACAAACCAGAAGGAAGTTTAAAAATCACTTCTGTGAATAAAATTCATGCGATAAACCAATGCCTTCTATCCCTGTACAAAACATTCATGAAATAAGAAGGGAAATTCAAGAGCAGAGAGTTCATCACTAGAGACTTGAAGCTATAAGAAGATTCTAAACCAAGATGATGTATATGAAAAGTGCAATGAATAAATGAAAATCTCCATGGACAGCAGAATAAACAGGTGCTACAGACTTGCAGTGGAAAGGACGTGCAAAATTGAAAAATAACACTCTCACACAGCAACAAAGAAGAAAACTGGCTGGAGGGCCCCACAGCTCCCGGAGAATGCTCCGGGCCTCAAACAGAGCCGATATCACCGGGAGGTCCCAGATGGGGAAGGTGCCATCCTGCCTTCTCCAGATGGAATCCCGGTGACCATGAGCTTCTACAAGCATGGCATGCGGGTACCAGGACATTTTTTGTGAACCACGTGGCCGCTTATGTGGCCACGCGACGTTTCCTTATATGCAATGTGATCAACGGAAAGTAAATCATCCAAAATTTCTCCCTGAAAATCAGGCTTGACTCTTTTTCAAACCACAACACCTAAAAGAAGAGAGAGAACAAAGGGGAATGCCCTGCCACAGAGGCAGGGAGGGATGGGGGGTGGGGGGGTGGGAGGAATACTGGGATCCATGGTGGTGGGAAATGGGCAGTGGTGGAGGGATGGGTATTTAATCATTGTGTAATTGAAACCCAAGCGCAAAATTTGTAAGTCTACAACTGTACCTCACTGTGTCTCACTAATAAAATTTTTTTTAAAAAATCAAACAAAAAAGAAAAATAACACTCTGGTAAATTGCAAGCAGGAGACCAGAGTGTTATCCCTGACACCAAATAAATCACACTTAATCACTTAACTTCCCGTTAGTCGTCGATTTGCTCGAGCGGGCGCCAGTAACGTCTCCATTTGTCCCTGTCGCGTGCTAGTGTAGCCCAATGGCATCTGTTCGCTCCGGGAACATGAAGAGCCTCAAACCGATCGTTCATGATCTTGACGAAGAAGTCTGACCATCTGGTAGGTGGGCAGCCACGCGGTCTTTTGACATCCCGTGGAATCCAGTCTGTAACAGCTCTAGTCCAGCGGTCGTCTTTAACTCTCATTATGTGACCAGCCCATCTGATTTTTGACACCTTGGCAAATGAGATAGCATCCCTGATCATCGACAGATGTCAGAACTCCGGATTCTTTCTCTCATTTGAGTGAAACGTGATATTCCAAGCATAGCTCTTTCTATTCTTCTTTGGGAGACCTGAATAGCGTTCTCATCTTGTTTGCGTAGGGCCCAGGTCTCTGAGGCATATGTTAATGCAGGAAGAACAGTGGAATCAAAGAGTTGTGCCCGGAGCCGGAGGTTCTTCGT